CTGGCAGCAGAAAAAAGAACTGGATTTACAAGGTAACCGGAAATTATGCTTGCCTTAGTCCTTCCATCCTACTTTTGGTTAAAAATAACACAAATGTAAAAAAACTAATTACGATTCGGAATTCCTACTAATCGATCTATCCTTGCCTAATTGCGACCTACTTGGGATATCATAAATCGTTTAATCTCGGCAAAATTATGTTCGGTCTGCATTTAAAGAGTTCTTTTGAGTATCGGTGCTAAAGAATACTCTTCGAGACCTCAATTTGTTACTTTATCCCCTTTGGAGTAGATATTTCATACGGAATGACGGGTGAAGTATGTGACCTGCATTTGGAACGCAGATGGCTCCATAAATAATTTTGCTTGCGCGTTAAGCAAGGTTTTTTTTAATGCATACTAACATAGAATTCGTAAGCGCTGTGACGACCAGCTCGAAGGAAATTCTACCAAATGCGCTTAAGGCTCATAGAGCGTAAGAAGAAAGTGTGGAAGTCAAGTGGCCGAATGTTGTAGGAAAACTATCGGCAAAATGCTTTATGGGACCACCTACAGGAAAAAAGGGGGCAATTTGCAAAAATTAAAAGTCGTCCAATAAAGCTAAGGTCTCCAAGGTATGCATACAACTATTTTTTATTCGGAAATTTTGCCTAGTCGAAAAAACGTGTGCAAAAAAGCGGTCCTCTCTGATTAAGAGAGTTTGCGAGAATAAAATAGCGGGACCAGAGGATTTTTAATGAATTAAACAAATATATAATTTGTGGAGCGATCAAAATGGTTGGATACATTCTATGCACAACTCATTACCACCTAGCACTGTAAACTGTGAATGTCATTAAAAAAAAACATTTATGAACCAGTCAGCCAGGTAGTCATAACATGAGGACTGGCAGAACAGAAAGATACTCGGGCACTGATAAGAATGAGGCAACGCAGTTTGATTAAATCTATTACTGGGCCAGAAAAATGCGTCAAGGGATCACAGAGTGGCCTCAGGCTTTCGTGGGCAATTAACTGTCGGAAACCCCGTGCAATGTCTCGACAGTCTGTCACGGCAACGCGGTCAGTAGAAGGGAG